GGGGGGGGGGCGGCCCCCTTTTTTTTTTTTTTTTTTGCCCAATTTTTTTCACAAATAATTTAATAAATTAATTTTAAATTTTTTTATTATTTGGTTTTAATAAATAATAAATTATTTAGTTTGTCGAATTTAAATAAAATTGTTACGACTAAATTTAAATAAAATTTTTACATTTAATTTTTTTTAATATTTATTTTTATTTTTTCATTTTTGGTAAATAATAATTTGAAATAATTGTTGGGAAATTTTTAATTGTAATTTGAAATAATTGTTGGAAATTTAATTTGAAATTTAATATTTATTTTTATTTTTATTATTAGTTTTTGATAAATAATATTATCATTTTTTTTTTGCCCAATTTTTTTTCATAAATAATTTATTAATTTAATTTTAAAATTTTTTTTATTATTTGGTTTTAATAAATAATAAACTATTTAGTTTGTCGAATTTAAATAAAATTGTTACGACTAAATTTAAATAAAATTTTTACATTTAATTTTTGTTTTAATATTTATTTTTATTTTTTCATTTTTGGTAAATAATAATTTGAAATAATTGTTGGGAAATTTTTAATTGTAATTTGAAATAATTGTTGAAAATTTAATTTGAAATTTAATATTTAATTTTATTTTGTGATAATTGGAATAATTGGGAAAAATTGACATTATTGATAATAGGATAAAAAAAATTCACATTATTGATGATTTTAATTATTATGAATCTACGTTTTGCGTATTGTAGTTACAATTTTGTTCGCTAAATTTTCTGTTATTACTATTATGACTTGTACAATGTTCTAATATTTTGAATTTGAACAGGATGGATTATCATCTTAACGCAGAGTTGAGACAGATGCCAGGCAAAGTTACGTGGAGTAGTAGCTTTGATAATTTCGCAGCTGTGTTAGAGCTGCTTGATAATCGGCATGCTGATATGCTGCGTCAGTCCTTCCTGTGGCCCTTGTACCCGTTGAGAGATCTGCAGTACTTGGGTCAGATTATTGATGCATTTATATGTCGATTGCTGAGTCCAGTCGACGGCGATGCCCTTCACTTCGCAATCGGGTGTAAAATCGTCAGTTTTTCGATGTTCGAATTTGCTCTGATCACGGGATTAAAGATTACGGGCGATGAAGCAGCTGGTGATGGGACTCAGAGAAGAAATAGGTTTCATGACGCTTACTTCGAGGGACATGGTAGTGTGCTCCTTACACAGCTATTGGACGCAATCAGGAGGTGTGATCAGATCTTAGACAGACTGAAGTTAGGTCTGGTCTACATCCTTGAGAGCGTGGTGCGGTGTCACCATAAGAAGACTGCGATCGGCCTCTTCCATCTGGAGATCGTTGACGACATCGATCGTTTCAACGACTATCCATGGGAGCGAAGATGTTTTGAGGACACTGTGCACGTCTTCACCAGATCGCACTCGAAGCCGAAGGGAGCCATGCGTAAGTACGTCACCTATGGATTGCCCCTGACGGTGCAGGTAAATGGTTAACATAATAAATGTTAAAATTATTTTCATATTGAATTTATATATAATAACTGTATGTGTTGCAGATCTGGGCGTATGAGGCCGTCCCCATATTGGGTACTCGATTTGCGAGGCGAGGGGAGACATGCTACCCTCGGATGCACCATTGGAGAGCATCTCAATCGGAGGGATGTCCCACTGGAAAACAGTTATCGGATATCCTGGACGACCCTCAAGTAAGTATTATGCATTTGTAATTTATATTGTGCGTGATTTAACATCTGATTACATTATTGTTAACTAGTTCAAATATTAATATGTCAGCTTGAAGTTATAACTGACTTGACGCCGTTGATGGAGGAGGAGGCTCAGGGTCTTGTGCTTGAATTAGGCATTTCACATCGACGACGACCATATGTCTGATCCGATCCACGACTGAGATTGGGTGAGCGAATTAAACAAAATCTATTGATTACCGATTTGAATGAGTTAGCATTTACGGATGAAGTTAATAATTTGTAATGTTGTTGCTTGTGTAGGAGCGTGATCCAGATGATCGACGATCACCTCCGTCGAGGGCATCACCGCCTCTGTCGAGGGCATCACCACCTCCACCGGAGATGTCGCCGACAGCATCTCCTCCTCCGCCAGAGATGCCGCCGACGACATCTCCTCCGCCGTCGAGGGCATCTCCTCCGCCTCCCCCATCCAGAGACCTCTCATGTGGATTTCCCGCACGTAGTCAGAGGCATTATTTTGATGATCTGTACACCCGTATGAGCAGATTTATAGAGGGGCAGGTCGATAGGTTGCATTGAGAGATGATAGAGAGGGTTGATGATTTGGGACGACAGTTGGTAGGAAGGGTCGAAGGTTTGTCGAATGAGATTACAGCACTTCGGGCTGATGTAAGTGAAGTGTTATTGTTACTTTTTGTATACGTTATGTTTAATTTGGTAAATGAAATAAGTATTTATGTCTTTGTTTTCCTTGATGTAGCACATCGACATGGCCATAGACTTGTTGCGCGATCGAATTGAGAGATATCCACAATCATTCCACAAGTCTGGTCGCATTATACTGAACACCGAGTTCTTCCGTGTCATTACCATTGAGTATCAGTCCCTCCAGCTTCTAGGTAACGAGTACGTGCTTTCCGCGTATATGCTTGAGTGGGTCATCGGGCTGTCACCGAGTGTTGGGGGAAAGCCATGGAGGGTTGTACACATTTATACATTCCAGTTATCGCGAATCAGCACTGTATTGCACTGGAGATCGTGTTCCCTGATTCGACGATATATGTGTACGACCCTGATCTTTCATGTCTGACACAGGGACAACTCGAGCAGATCTTAGAGCCGATAACAGTAATCTTTCCTATGATGGCTAGACATGTGGGCTTGACTGTGGATTACAAACTAGCCATCGTGCGGGACATGACGACGATGAGACAGTCTATATCGTAAGTCTTTGTAATCTTTTTTTTTTAATTTAGTAATCAGTTTGTACGTAATTGGAATCGAACTAACACATATTTGTTCATTTGCATGGGCGATTGTGGGATTTTCGCAATCAAATACATAGAATTTTTGAGTATAGCACATAAGGTTAATGGAATCAACCAGTCATGGATACAGAATTGGCGAAATAAGTTAGCGTGTGATTTATACGAATTTAATTGTGATCCATAAATTATTTGTAAATATTTTTTGTACTTAATATTTGTAATTATTTTTTGTGATTATTCATGTAAATACTGTTTATTTCAATGTAAATACTATTAATTTCAACATAAATACTATTCATTTCAATGTAAATACTTTTCATTTCAATGGAAATACACAATACTCTAACTGTCATTTAGGAGAACCTGACTTGTACAAAATTGACGAGTATGCCCTACTGATTTACACCTGCTACACCTACGTAATCGGGAAAACTCTCCAGTAGATG